ACGAACTCACGAACTCACGAACTCACGAACGAACTCACGAACTCACGAACTCACGAACGCACGAACTCACGAACTCACGAACTCACGAACTCACGAACTCACGAACTCACGAACTCACGAACTCACAAACTCACAAACTCACGAACTCACGAACTCACGAACTCACCAAACGAACTCACGAACTCACGAACTCACGAACCACGAACTCACGAACTCACGAACTCACAAACTCACGAACTCACGAACTCACGAACTCACGAACCCACGAACTCACAAACTCACGAACTCACGAACTCACGAACGCACGAACGCACGAACTCACGAACTCACGAACTCACAAACTCACGAACTCACGAAACTCACGAACTCACGAACTCACGAACTCACGAACTCACGAACTCACGAACTCACGAACTCACAAACTCACAAACTCACAAACTCACGAACTCACGAACTCACGAACTCACGAACTCACGAACTCACGAAACTCAAACTCACAAACCCACAAACTGCACGAACTCACGAACGCACAAACTCACAAACTCACAAACTCAAAAACGCACAAACTCAAAAACGCACAACTCAAAAACGCACAAACTCAAAAACGCAAACTCACAAACTCACGAACCCACAAACTGACAAACTCACGAACGCACGAACTCACAAACTCACGAACTCAAACTCAAAACTCACAAACTCACAAACTCACGAACTCACAAACTCACGAACTCACTCACGAACGCACGAACGCACGAACTCAAACTCACAAACTCACGAACCCACAACTCACGAACGCACGAACTCACGAACTCCACAAAACTCACGAACTCACGAACTCCACAAACTCACAAACCCACAAACTGACGAACTCACGAACGCACAAACTCACGAACGCACAAACTCACAAACGCACAAACTCAAAAACGCACAAACTCAAAAACGCACAAACTCACAAACGCACAAACTCACAACTCACGAACCCACTGACAAACTCACGAACGCACGAACGTACAAACTCAGAACTCACAACTCACAAACTCACGAACTCACAAACTCACGAACTCACGAACGCTCACGAACCACGAACGCACGAACGCACGACCTCAAACTCACAAACTCACGAACCCACGAACTCAAACTCACGAACTCACGAACGCACGAACTCACGAACTCACGAACTAACGAACTCACAATCTCACAAACTCAACGGAGCCGAGTTTGTTTCATTCACAAGTTTAAAGCTGCACTGTGTAACTTTTTGGTTAGGGACCCATCACCTGCTTGTTTCAATTAAATTCAAAATTCATTCAATTCTTGTTGTAGTCCTGGTTTAGTCCTGGTTTTAGTCCTGGTTTTAGTCCTGGTTTAGCCCAAAATGTGAAAACAGTAAAATCCCGCCGTGTAATCCATTTATTTCAACAAAGTAACTGTAATCCAATTACCACTCACTGAAACAGTAACTGTAACTGAATACAGTTACTCATCATTTGTACTCTGATTACTTAACTCTGGTAAATGTAATCTGTTACTCCCCAACACTGGATATGAAGAATCGGAATTGTGTTTCTCACTAACCGTGTATCATTCGTTCATTCGTTTTTCAATATAAACCAAAAATAAGAAAACGAAAAAACAACAGTTTTCTTCGTTATTTGTCTCCAAAACCAAAATGAAAAAACGGATAAACGATTCGTTTTTTTCAGTTTTTCGATTTTGTGTTTAAATGAAGAATGGAAAAAACGGATAACGGCCGTTTCCCGTTTACGTGACTTCCGTGACTGCGATGCCGACTTTTGCACCGCATACGGACTGAACCGGGACTGATCCAGGTCCGAGACCAGACCGAGACCAGAGCGGGACTGAGACCGGGACCAGACCGGACCAGAGCGGGACTGAGACCGGGACCAGACCGGGACCAGGGCGGACTCCGAGCTTTGACTCCGAGCCTCCACGGGGTCCGAGCCTCAGCTTGGAGCTCCGGCCCTTCCGTGGGCTCTGAGCTCCGGTCTGGTCCCGGTCTGGTCCTGGTCTTGTCTCGATCTCGGTCTCAGGCCCGCTCTGGTCCCGGTCTGGTCCCAGTCTCACCGCATACGGACTGAATCAGGACGGATCCAGGTCCAGACCAGACCGAGCTGCTCTGGTCCTCCGCGCTCAAGAACCGCGGCTGATTCCGAGGTGGTGCAAAGCCTCCGACTGACGCTTTCACCCAACGAAAACGAACCGAACTAAGAGCTTTTGGTTCAGATGGACCAGGTCCGGGACCAGACCGGGACCAGAGCGCTACTGAGACTCAGTCCCGGTCTCGGTCCCGCTCTGGTCCCGGTGTCAGTCCCGGGTCCCCGGTGGTCCCGGTCTCAGTCCCGCTCTGGTCTCGGTCTGGTCTCGGACCTGGACAGTCCCGGTTCAGTCCGTACGAGGTGCAAAAGTTCGGCATCGCAGTCACGGAAGTCACGTAAACGGGAAACGGCGTTATCCGTTTTTTTCGCATTCTTCATTTAAACACAAAATCGAAAACTGAAAAAACGAATCGTTATCCGTTTTTTCATTTTGGTTTGGAGACAAATAACGAAGAAAAATGTTGTTTTTTCGTTTTCTTATTTTTGGTTTTATATTGAAAAACGGAACGAATGATACACGGATTCTCACTCCTAAGCAAATAATTAAATAAATAATAATAAATGGAAAAGTCCGAGATGTAGATTCCTGCTTCTCGTGGCCTGGTGGTTCGAGAGGCGCGAGTGTTCAGCAGCCTAACAGCCTGGAGGATGAAGCTGTTGTGTTGCTGTGAGTCGGGTGGTGCGGGAGTGGAGGCGCGGGACACATTTTGAAAAGCTCACTGTGGGCGCGGGCGCGAGCGGGATGATAAACTACAGTCCCACAAACTAAATCTGAGTGTAAAATCAAATCTACAAATGATTCATGTTTGTCTGTCATGCATCATTTGTGCTGGAGATTTTATTTGGCATCAGTAAAAACATTTTAAGCTGGACGTGGTCTAATCTCGCGCACATTTTAAACATTTCCTTTCCGCTTTTCTGTGTTTGATGGATCTTAAGAAATCAAACGTCCTCATCTCGCAGGATACACAATATTACAGATACAGATACAGACGACTTGCAGTTTGTAATCTGCAGAATATGATTTTGTTTTGGGAGCATTTGCCTTCAGTCTTTCTCAGTCGTCTTTATAAACTGATTTTTATTTTCAGTGGTACAGGAGTAACAGGAGTAGCAGATACTGGCACGCAGGCCTAGAGCGCCCCCTGTCGGCTTCAGCGTGAAAATAACAAACATGTGAAATTATATATTTTAATATGAAAGTCGCAGGAACCAACCAAACCAGACCTGGGCCTTGTCCAGCTCTGGTGCCACATTCAGTTCTTTGATCGACTCTGATTGGCAAAATAAACATAAAATAAATAAAAAATAAAATAAACAAAATAAACATATTTTGTAATTAAAACTAAAGCTTATAATTATAACTAAAGCAGGAGCCGCGTTTATTTTAGAGGTGTTTTTTTTTTTTTTAAATGACACTTTTTGTTCGGTAAACTCACTTTTTCGATACTTAGAACTCTTATAAAATGCTATGAAAGTGCGACTTATAGTCCGATAAAAACAGTAGGAGCTTTATCTTTGGACAATAACGACATTAATCAGGTCAGTGTTGGGAGTAACGTGTTATAAACGTAACGAATTACAGTAATGCGTTGCTTTTTGCTGTAACGCAGTAATGTTCGGCATTACAGGGAAAAAATAGTAATATTTTAGTCGGTACAAATGTGAGTAACGCGCGTCATGTTGCTTTTTTAACCTGGACTGAAGTGGTGGGTTTTTCTTCATACAAATTCGCTAAATTCACCGCGATATCAGCAGCGGTGAAACGCCGGAGACGCCCGTGTAGACCGTCAGGTGACCGCGGGCGAAAGGACCGACACAGAACTCCACGCTGTTTAGACCTGGTTGAGACTTGGGTCAGTTCTGGTTTAGTCCTGGTTTAGTCCTGAATTAGACCCGGTTTAGTCCTGGTCTAGTCCCGGTTTAGACCCGAACTAGACTCGGTTTAGACCTGAACTAGACTCGGTTTAGACCTGAACTAGACCCGGTTTAGTCCTGTTTTAGTCCTCCTCTTCAGTCCTGGAATCAATCCGAGGTTAGTCCTGTTATAGTCCTGGCTCAGTCCTGGTTTAGTCCTGGTTCAGTTCATATACGGCGCAAAAATTCTGCATCTTGGCAGTTATTTTGGTGAGAGTAACTTAAAGTAATGTAATAGTCATGTAAGGCCTGACATTTTAAATACAGTAATACTGAAAGTAACGAATTACTTTGAAATGACAGAAGTAAGTCACAAATAACAGTTTACAGTTTTAAAGTAACTTGCCCAACATTAATCATGTTTACGTCAGGACTTGCTCGGCGGTCGTTTAAAACCGTGCAGAACTCACGAACGCACAAACGCACAAACGCACAAACGCACAAACGCACGAACTCACGCACAAACTCACAAACGCACAAACTCACAAACGCACGAACTCACGAACTCACAAACTCACAACTCACAAACAACAAACTCACAAACGCACAAACTCACAAACGCACAAACTCACAAACGCACAAACTCACAAACTCACAAACTCAAACTCACGAACTCACGAACGCACGAACTCACGAACTCACGAACTCACGAACGCACAAACTCAAACTCAAACTCAAACTCACGAACGCACAAAACTCACGAACTCACGAACTCACGAACTCACGAACTCACGAACGCACGAACTCACAAACTCACGAACGCACGAACTCACGAACTCACAAACTCATGAACGCATGAACTCACGAACGCAAAAACGCACAAACTCAAACTCACAAACGCACGAACGCACAAACTATAGTTCGATAAAAACGGTAGGAGCTTTATCTTTGGACAATAACGACATGAATCATGTTTACGTCGTTTAAAACCGTGCAGCGCGTGAGTGTGTTTTCTGAGTGTGGTACCAGAGTGACGGGCAGCAGGACGGTCAGCAGCGCGATGTGATGAAGCACCAGGAGAAACTCCCTCCGCAGGAACGAGGCGACCGTCCGGAGCGAGTGCCGCTTGTACTCCTCGTGCCCTTTGACCCGGAAGCGGTGGTAGTGGCTGAGGTACATGGCGAGGATGTCGTAGGTCATGTACGGGACGCCGTAGTAGATGACGAAGTCCGTGGCGAGTCGGTGTCTGAAAGAAACACACACAGAGAGAGGAAAAGTGAGGACCTGGACACACACGAGCCGACGCCTGAGACGTTTAAAACATGTTCCTCCTCAAAAACATCACAATCAGAGCCCCAAACGCCCTGCTCCACCTCGTGATGTCATCAAGTGGTGGTTTTCAAGTGAACATCTCCTTTTATCTTTAGTCCAGTCGAGATCAGTGATTCCTTAGTCCCGGTTTAGGCCCGGTTTAGGCCCGGTTTAGTCCTGAATTAGACCTGGTTTAGACCTGGTTTAGACCTGGTTTAGGCCTGGTTTAGACCTGGTTTAGACCTGGTTTAGACCTGGTTTAGTCCTGACCTGGTTTAGACCTGGTTTAGTGCTGAATTAGACCTGGTTTAGACCTGGTTTAGTGCTGAATTAGACCTGGTTTAGACCTGGTTTAGACCTGGTTTAGGACCTGGTTTACTCCTGGTTTAGGCCTTGTTTAGACCTGGTTTAGACCTGGTTTAGGCCTGGTTTAGGCCTGGTTTAGACCTGGTTTAGACCTGGTTTAGACCTGGTTTACCTGGTTTAGACCTGGTTTAGTTTTAGACCTGGTTTAGACCTGGTTTAGGCCCTGGTTTAGACCTGGTTTAGTCCTGGTTTAGACCTGGTTTACCTGGTTTAGACCTGTTTAGACCTGGTTTAGACCTGGTTTAGTCCTGGTTTAGACCTGGTTTAGTCCTGGTTTAGACCTGGTTTAGACCTGGTTTAGTCCTGGTTTAGTCCTGGTTTAGTCCTGGTTTCGACATGTTTTAGTCCTGGACTTTTTAGATTAGATAAATCTTTCGTCTGTTTTTTATCTTCGTTCTCACACAGACTTTGTGAACAGAAGCAGATTGTGTCAGTTTCACGTTTGGTTTGTTCAGTTTGTTCAGTTTGTTCTCTCGTCCACGTTTCACTTTGTAAAGCACTTCTCTGTGAGTCTGGGGTTTCTGGACTCGAGCACTTCCCGTCCCCCCCCCCCCCCCCGCGTGACTGACACCCGGCTAATCCTGAGTCAGCGCCGCTCGCTAATCTGCCCCTCCCCCTGCCCCTCCCCTGCCCCCACCCCCCTCTGCCCCCTTCTGCCCCCCCTCCCGCCCCCTTTGCCCACAAACAGATTAGCGCCGTTGCTCAGTTGTGTGTCTCCTGACGGACGCACACGAGGCTTATCACACACACACACACACACACACACAGACACACAGACACACACACACAGACACACACACACACACACACACACAGACACACACACACAGACACACACACACACACACACACACACACACACTAAAGCCCCGGCGCCGCTGCCTCCCCGTGAGCCTCCCTGACCTCGTTTGTAAAGCTCCTCTCGGGCTCCGGTTCCTTTGGTCCGAGCGTCCACACTGGACCGGGACACTGGACCGGGACACTGGACCGGGACACTGGACCGGGACACTGGACCGGGACACTGGACCGGGACACTGGACCGGGACACTGGACTGGTCCAGACTGTGTCCCCCCCGTCCCCACAGATTTATACAAACACACTGATCTGTCCCAGTTTATACAAGAAATGTCCCAGTGTCTCTACATTTGACCAATTAGATCTAAACCAGGACTAAACCAGGACTAAACCAGGACTAACCAGGACTAAACCAGGACTAAACCAGAACTAAACCAGGACTAAACCAGGACTAAACCAGGACTATCACAATTTTTGACTAATCTGATGCATGCCAAAATACAGAAAACTGTGTGTGATTTTATATGTGTGTGTGTGTGTGTGTGTGTGTGTGTGTGTGTGTGTGTGTGTGTGTGTGTGTATATACACACAATGTATTTTATACGTGTCACTTTTTTCTTGGTTTGGGAATAAAATCATGATGAATAAAATTCACACTCTTTCATACAAACACGAACATGTAGAAACTACTTTTTGGACAAACTTTTTTTTTTTTTTTTTATTTAAGGCCTTAGCTACAAAAGTGCAAAATATCAAGTGTGTAAATAAACTAAAACTATCCTTATTGCCTCAAAAGAAAAAAAAAAAGTCTTATCTTTCAAAGGAATAAAAAGTAAGTTTGTACGTTTTACCAGTGGAAAGTCGCGTGTGGTTTTATTAAACATATTTGCTGGTTTTGTAAACGACATCGCCGGTCTAAAACCGTTAATCAGAGATTTTTCAAATTTAAAAAATAATTAGTCTAGTCCTCGTAAAAAGATCTCAGTGTCAGGTTTGACCAGTGGAAAAACTGCTGGCTCTTCTCTGGCGAACGTCCAACAGCTGCTCACCGAGTCGCTGCATCAACAACTTTTTATCTGTTTATTATCAACATGAAATTATCAACAGTAAAAAAACACGAGGCCAAAAAAAAAAAAAAAAACTATTTCATTATGGAGTAAAATTATTACAACTGATAATCTCAAATAAGCAAAAATTCAACAACAAGTGAAAGTTTTTCAAATGTTAAAAAGAAAAAAAAAATAATAATTTTTTCAGTTTTTGATTTTGCATTGAAATGAAAAATGGAAAAAAAACAAAAAACAAAAAAAACAGACTGAACCAGAACTGAACCAGTCTCAGTCCTGGTCTCAGTCCAGTTTTAGTCCTGGTTTAGTCCAGATTCAGTCCAGGTTCAGTCCTATTTTAGTCCTTGTTCAGTCTTGGTTCAGTCCGGGTTCAGTCCAGTTTAAGTCCTGGTTTAGTCCTGGTTTAGTCCTGGTTTTAGTCCTGGTTTTAGTTCCTGGTTTAGCCCAGTTTTAGTCCTGGTTTAGTTCCTGGTTTAGCCCAGTTTTAGTCCTGGTTTAGTCCTGGTTTAGCCCAGTTTTAGTCCTGGTTTAGCCCAGTTTTAGTCCTGGTTTAGTCTAGTTTTAGTTTTAGTCCAGTTTTAGTCCCATTTTATTTCCAGGTTTAGTCCAGGTTTAGTCCTGGTTTAGTCCTGGTTTAGCCCAGTTTTAGTCCTGGTTTAGCCCAGTTTTAGTCCTGGTTTAGTTCTGGTTTAGCCCAGTTTTAATCCAGTTTTAGTCCTGTTTCAGTCCTGGTTCAGTTTTCATTTAAACCCAAAATCAAAAACAAAAAAATCAAATTCTGTTATTATCTGTTTTTTCATTTGGGTTTTGGAGACAAATAATGTAGTCGTAATAAGAGTTGTTTTTGGTTTTTTTTCGTTTTGTTTTTATTTTGAAAAGACCTAAAGACCCTCTGGGACCGTGATCCTGGTCTGGGTCTGGAGCCGGTCGTTTTGCTGAAGTGCACAGAGTTTGGCCTCAGAGCCGCCGCCGCAGACGCACGTGACCCGCCTCGAGTTTCAGACGCTTCACAAAGGCCCGTTTCAAATCTGAACTTCACGTGTTTGAGATATTCAAGTCCCCGCTCGGTCCGGAATGTTCCACACTGTGACTTTAAACAGATCCACTTTACATTTATCAGAAGATTAGAAACATCTAGAAACACACACAGAGACATTGTGAGTGTGAGCGGCGTCGCCTCTCCGCAGATCTGACCTGTGACTGCCTCCGGTTTGGTCTCCGTGGAGATAGAAAGGTTTAATGCCGCACTGTGGAATATTCCAGACACAACAATAAAACCGGGTCTAAACCAACTAACCAGGACTCTAAACCAGGTCTAAAAAACCGGGTCTAAACCAGGACTAAAACCAGGACTAAACCGGTCTAAACCGGGTCTAAACCAGGAAACTAAACCGGGTCTAAAACCAGGATTAAACCAGGTCTAAAACCGGGTCTAAAACCAGATCTAAAACCAGGTCTAAAACCAGGTCTAAACCGGGTCTAAAACCGGGTCTAAACCAGGACTAAAACCAGGACTAAACCAGGACTAAAACCAGGACTAAACCAGGTCTAAAACCGGGTCTAAACCAGGACTAAAACCAGGACTAAACCAGGACTAAAACCAGGACTAAACCAGGACTAAACCGGGTCTAAAACCGGGTCTAAAACCGAACTAAATAGGGACTAAACCTCAAAAATCCCTATAAAATCAAAAACAGACATTGTGACTGCGAGCTGAGTCGCCTCTCCACAGATCTGAGCTGGAACTTGGTCTGGTTTGGTCCCAGTGGAGATAGAAAGGTTTAATGCCACACTGTGGAACATTCCAGACAACACAAGAACATCTCCACGGACAAAAACATTTTAACGGAGCCTCCAGCAGAAAAGTTACACAGTGCAGCTTTTAAAATTCACAGACACGGTGAAGGTTTAACTAAAACCTTCAACACGGTGGTTTTACGTCCAAAGAAGCAGATTTTAAAACTTGAGAAATGTTTTAAGAACTCGGAGAGATGGTTCCTGACGTCTCAGAGGCTCCGTGTGCTCACCTGTCGTGGATGACGTTGTTCCAACACGACGCCACGATGATCACTCCGGCGGCGGTCGCCATGAGCGCGTGGACCGAGGACACCAGCCTGAGAACACAGAGACCAGAGACCAGAGTGAGACGAGAGGGAGACGACAGGGAGACGAGAGTGAGACGAGAGTGAGACACAACGGAGAGACAAACAGAGAGACCAGAGTGAGACTAGAGTGAGACGACAGGGAGACGACAGGGAGACGAGAGTGAGACGAGAGTGAGACACAACAAAGAGACTAGAGTGAGACACAACGGAGAGACGAGAGTGAGACACAACGGAGAGATGAGAGTGAGACACAACAAAGAGACGAGAGTGAGAGACGAGAGTGAGACACAACAGAGAGACTAGAGTGAGACGAGAGTGAGACACAACGGAGAGATGAGAGTAAGACGAGAGTGAGACACAATGGAGAGACAAACAGAGAGACGAGAGTGAGACACAACGGAGAGACAAACAGAGAGACGAGAGTGAGACACAACGGAGAGATGAGAGTGAGACACAACAAAGAGACGAGAGACGAGAGTGAGACACAACAAAGAGACCAGAGTGAGACGAGAGGGAGACGACAGGGAGACGAGAGTGAGACACAACAAAGAGACCAGAGTGAGACGAGAGGGAGACGACAGGGAGACGAGAGTGAGACAAGAGTGAGACAAACAGTGAGATGAGAGTGAGACGAGAGTGAGACACAACGGAGAGATCAACAGAGAGACGAGAGTGAGACACAACGGAGAGACAAACAGAGAGACGAGAGTGAGACACAACGGAGAGACGAGAGTGAGACACAACGAGATGAGACGAGAGTGAGACACAACGGAGAGACGAGAGTGAGACACAACGAAGAGACGAGAGTGAGACACAAGAGAGAGAGAAGAGAGTGAGACGAGAGGAGACACAACGAGAGAAACAGAGAGACGAGAGTGAGACACAACAAAGAGACGAGAGTGAGACAACGGAGAGACGAGAGTGAGACACAACAAAGAGACAGAGTGAGACGAGAGTGAGACGACAGAGACAGAGTGAGACAGAGTGAGACAAGAGAGAGTGAGACGAGAGTGAGACACACGGAGAGATGAGACAGAGAGACGAGAGTGAGACACAATGGAGAGACAAACTGAGACGAGAGTGAGACACAACGAAGAGACGAGAGTGAGACACAACGGAGAGACGAGAGTGAGACAACGAAGAGACAAGAGTGAGACACAACGAAGAGACAAACAGAGAGACGAGAGTGAGACACAACGGAGAGACAAACAGAGAGACGAGAGTGAGACACAACAAAGAGACGAGAGTAAGACGTGAGTGAGACGAGAGTGAGACACTACGGAGAGAAACAGAGACGAGAGTGAGACACAACGGAGAGATGAGAGTGAGACACAACGGAGAGACAAACAGAGACGAGAGTGAGACGAAAGTGAGACACAACGGAGAGACGAGAGTGAGACACAACGAAGAGACGAGAGTGAGACACAACGGAGAGACAAACAGAGACGAGAGTGAGAACAAAGTGAGACACAACGGAGAGACGAGAGTGAGACACAACGAAGAGACGAGAGTGAGACACAACGGAGAGACGAGAGTGAGACACAACGAAGAGACGAGAGTGAGACACAACGAAGAGACGAGAGTAAGACGAGAGTGAGACGAGAGTAAGACGAAAGTGAGACAACACAGAGACAAGAGTGAGACACAAGAGTGAGACAAACAGAGAGACAACAGAGTGAGGCAAAAAGAGACAAAATTCACACCAAAATCTTGTCAGGATATTTTAAAAGTAAAAAAGTGTCCCATCTACAGTTATATCAGCCTCTGCAAAATATCAAAATAAATATCATGATAATATCGCACCAAGAGATTTGGATATCGTTATGTCCCTAACATTTACATTTATATAATTACGTCGTATTTCACACCAGTCTCTTGTTATTTTTTTTAAAACTTATTTAGAGTTTATTATCACCATTTATATGTTTTATCTTTGTTATAATTTGACATGCAAAGTTTACGCTTAAAATCTCTAAAAATTGACGTTTACATCGCACAAAAACACAAAAGTGAAAAGTTAATTATTGAGTTTTACTTTAGTTGTTGCATTTTAAACTAAAGCTGCATTTTGTAAGTTTTTGTTGAACTTTTTCCTCTATAGAGATGTTGTTACTTTGTCTGGAATGTTTCGCAGTACGGCTTTAAACCTTTCTATCTCCACGGAGACCAAACCAGGTCGAGTTCCAGGTCAGATCTGTGGAGAGGCGACTCAGCTCGCAGTCAATGTCTGTTTTTGTTTTTCTGGGTATTTTTGACGTTTAGTCCCTTTTTAGTCCTGTTTAGACCCGGTTTAGTCCTGGTTTAGTCCTGGTTTTAGTCCTGGTTTAGACCCAGTTTGGTTCCTGTTTGGTCCTGGTTTGGTTCCGGTTTAGTCCGAGTTTAGTCCGAGTTTAGATTTAGCTCACAGTCACAACGTCTGATTTGTTTTGTTTTTTCGAGGTATTTTTGAGCTCTAAAACCTCCTGTGACTGAATAAATGTAAAGTGGAGCTGTTTAAAGTCACACTGCGGAACATTCCAGACAGATCAGTGACGTATCCATGGAAACAAAAAGTTACACAGTGCAGCTTTAACACAGAATAATCCAGATGAACAGCACTGGGGACTTGGGCAGGGCGGGGGTTAGCGGGTTAGCGTTAGCGTGTTAGCGTTGCCATGGTTACAGCGTCTTCAGGTGCGCTAACGCTAAAGTAGCACCAGATGCTAAGGCTAATCCGGGGATTAGCTCGAGCTAAAAACAGAGCGACGGAACGAGAGAGCGGGACCAGAACACAGACCTGAGACCAGAGACCGGACCAGAGACCAGAGACCAGAGACCGGACCAGAGACCAGAGAGACCAGAGACCAGAACCAGAACACAGACCTGAGATCGGACTAGAGACCAGACCAGAACAGAGACCACAGACCAGACCACAGACCGGACCAGAGACCGGACCATAGACTAGACCACAGAAAGGACCACAGAAAGGACCAGAGACCGGACCAAAGACCGGACCACAGACCACAGACCGGACCAGAGACCAGACCACAGACCAGAGACCGGACCATAGACTAGACCACAGACTGGACCACAGACCGGACCAGAAACCCGGACCAGAGACCGGACCACAGACCACAGACCGGACAAGAGACCACAGACCGGACCAGAGACCAGACCAAAGTCTGTGCCAAAAACAACGCCTGAACCAAAACCAAAGCCAAACCAGGTCAAACCACAAACTCCACTGCAGGAAACAGCAGGAAAACCAGATGCAAATCCACTCAGCAGCTCCACGAAAACAGTTACAGTGTCTCTGCTGGTTTGCATAAAAACATGTTCGGACTCGGACTTCTCATACCACACCGACCTGAACCAATCTGAACCAGTCTGAACCAACCTGAACCAACCTGAACCAACCTGAACCAACCTGAACCAACCAGAACTGACCAGAACCAATCTGAACCAATCTGAACCAACCTGAACCAACCTGAACCAACCAGAACCAACCAGAACCAACTGAACCAATCTGAACCAACCTGAACCAACCAGAACCGACCAGAACCGACCAGAACCAATCTGAACTAACCTGAACCGACCAGAACCAACCTGAACCAAGCTGAACCAATCTGAATCGACCTGAACCAACCAGAACCGGCCTGAACCAACCAGAACCGACCTGAACCAACCAGAACCGACCTGAACCAACCAGAACCGACCAGAACCAATCTGAACCGACCTGAACCAATCTGAACCAACCTGAACCAACCAGAACCAAATCTGAACCGACCTGAACCAACCAGAACCAACCTGAACCAGTCTGCATTTGTGAGCGATAAAAACGTGTAATTGAATAAATATTTGACAGATGAGTTTAATGTCACAGCGACAGGATTGTTCTGATTGTTCTGATTGTTCTGATTGTTCTGATTGTTCTGATCGTTGGTGATGGACGAGCCACGTCCTCCTGTCAGAAACACACACTGATCGTCTGTTGGCCCAGTGAACCGAAAAACTTTACAGGGACCCACTGTAAATTAAATCACTATAATAATAATAATAAAAAGAAAAAACAGAACAACAACAATAAAGTGCCACCTATGATAGCACATATATGTAATTTATATCTATATCTAGAGAGAGAGAGAGAGAGAGATATAGTTTTATATATATATATATATATATATATAAAACTATATCTCTCTCTCTCTCTCTATATATATATATATATATATATATATATATATATATATATATATAGATAGATAGATAGATATAGATAGACATAGTTATAGTTATATATATATATATGTCACTGGAAAGTGCTCGTGGGCTCCTCTTCGATTTCTCACAAACCCAGTGCACGTTCTTGGAGTTTACGAGAGTTAACGATTACAATTATGCTGCTTTCGCGGCAACAGGGCAATACCAGTCTGTACTATTGGATGCCATGAGAATCCGTGTGTCGTTCGTTCATTCATTTTTCAATATAAAAACAAAAATAAGAAAACAAAAAAACAACAATTTTCTTCATTATTTGTCTCCAAAACCAGAATGAAAAAAAACGGATAAAGATTTGTTTTTTCAGTTTTCGATTTTGTGTTTAAATGAAAAATGGAAAAAAACGGATTCCCATTTACGTGACTGCGATCCCGGACTTTTGCACCGCATACAGACTGAACCAGAACTGATCCAGGTCCGGGACCAGACCAGGACTAGACAGGGACCAGAGGGGGACCAGACTGGAGGCCACGGTCTCCGGTCTGGTCCATCAGTCACGGTCCAACAGAGCCCATGGCAGGGCCGGAACTCGAAGCTGGGGCTTGGACCCTGCGGAGGCTCGGAGTCAAAGCTCGGAGTCCACCCTGGTCCCGCCCTGGTCCCGTCTGGTCCCGGTCTGGTCCGGTCTGGTCCCGGTCTGGTCCCGGTCTGGTCCCGGTCTGGTTCCGGTCTGGTCCCGCCCTGGTCCCAGACCATTATTGATAGAAGAGGAGGAGACACGTTCGCGCAGCATGATTTAGTCCTGTTAAATC